TTATTTTCCTGAATTCTTCTATTGCTTTGTCTGTGTTTTCCTTGATTTTGGCTATGTTTTTGTTGGTTTTATCTGTGTTTTTCATGATTTTGTCTACTTTTTTCCTTGGTTTTGTCTGCATTTTCCTTAATCTCTTCCCAAATTTCTTGGAGAACCCTAATTATTAGACTTTTGAATTTCGTATCAGGTAGTTCCACTGTCTATTCTTCTACTAGAAGGTCAGCTGATTATTTTGGTCGTTTTCTGGAGTCACCTAGTCCTGCTTTTTTATATGGTTTGATATTATCTGCTGTCTCTGAGACCTTAAAGTATTATTTTCTTTATTTATTGGTTGCATTTGTTTTGTCTTGTTTTTTGTTTTGTTTTGATATGTCAGGGCAGGTAAGCCAGCCATGTTTTGATGCTTGCTCATCTGTGGGCATGACAGTTCTCACTACCTTGTCCAGGAGGCCAGGGAAGCAACAGGCAGGGTAAGCCCACTTTGCTGTACACTGGTGTGGTGAGTTGGCTGAGGGCAAACTGGGTCGGCACTTTCTGTCTCCTGATGTTGGCCCACTGGTGTGGGAGATTTCCCAGCCCCTCATCAGATAGGCAGGGATCAGACGGCAAGTAGTACAGGCTAGCTTCCCACTGTTCAGCAGTTGGTCAAGCGGCAGAAGAGGGGCAATGTGGGTCCTGTGTGGTGTCTGGCCCAGCACTGGTGGTGCTCTATCCACAGCAGCATGTGGGGGGCCAGTAGGAAGGAGGACGGCATAAGCGGATAGGTGAGGGAGGGGAGAAAGAAAAGAAAACAGAGAGAAAGATAAGAAAAAAAGTAGCCAGCAGGTGGGGGCCGGGTGGGTCTGGGGGCTGGTGTGTAAGTGGGGGAGGCGGTGTATAAGGCTAGGTGGGAGGTATAAAGAAAAGAAAGAAAGTAAGAGAAAAAAGAAAAGAAAAAAATAAAAGAAGTGCTGGCACAGTAGGGGTGGATGCAGATTCAGGGCAGTGGTGGGCCAGTGGCTCTCCAGCTGTGGTTGTACAGCATGGCCCAGTAATGGGAGAGGCAGGTGTTGTATGGGGCTAGGTCCAAGGGAGAAGGAAAAGGAAGAGAGATAAAATAAAAATAAATAAAAATAAAACTGGTGCCTGATGGTGGCCAGTGAGGAGGGGCAGGTGGACCTGAGGGCTGGTTGGAAGGGAGGAGATGGGATGTGCAGAGCTAGGTGGGAGGGAGAAAGAAAACAAAGAAGATAGAGAAACAAAGCAGAAAAGAAAAGTGGCACAGTGGAAGCTGGCAGGTGTGGGTGTTGCAGATCCAGGGCAGCGATGGGCTGTTGTCTCTGTAGCTGAGGCAGTGAGGTGTGGCCCAGTAGGATGGGGTGGAGGTGGTGTACGGGGTTAGCTGGGAGGAAGAAAGTTAACGAAGAAAGAAAACCAGAGAAAAGAAAAGAAAGAAAGAAAGAAAAAAAATGGTGGTGTGGTAGGAGCTGGTGAATGGGGATAGGGCAGACCCGAGGATGCTGTTAGCTGGTGGCTCTCTAGCCCAGAGATGTGACACAGCCCATCAAGAAGGGATGGAGGCAGCACACTGGGCTAGGTGGGAAGGAGAAATAAAAGGAAGGAAGATAAATACAGAGAGAAAAAAAATATAGTGCTGAGGGTGCTGGCTAGTGGGGGTAGAGTGGAACTGGGGTGGCAGTGTGCAGGTGTCTCCTGCCAGGCAGTGCAGTGTGGTTCATCAGGAAGGGGCAGAGGCAGCACGTGGGGCTAGGTGGGCGGGAGGAAGAAAGAGAAAGAGAGGAAAAAAAATGGGGTTGAGGGAGCCAGCTAATGGGGGTGAGGTGGACTAGGGGTAATGGCAAGCTGGTGTCTCTCTCACTGAGCAGCACAGCGTGGGCCACCAGGGAGGGGCCGAGGCGGTGCAGGGGGCTAGGTGGGAGGAAGAAAGAAAAGGAAGAAAGAGAAAGAGAAAAAAAAGGCTTGGTGGGAGACTGTCTTTGGCGGTGGGGTGGACCCCGGGTGGCAGTGAGCCAGTGTCTTTCTGGCCAAGTGGCCATGGCCCGTTGGGAAGCAGTGGAGGAAGTGTACAGGGCAGAGGGTGGAGGGGTGGGAAAGCGTGTTTCTCTGGTTACTGGGTGCTCTGTCTCCTGTTGGGAGCTCTGTGAAGTTGCTTTCCCTTACTCCCTGTCCAGGGTCATTGCTGGCTGTCCTCCAAGATGGCAAAACTGTGCTGTGTTAGCTGGCAGGGGACCTCCACTCCTTAGGTCTCCTCATTCTCTGTTCTCCATCAGTTTCTTCTTCCATTCGGTGCTTGATCTAGTTCTTTATCCCTTCGTTTGATGCTTAGGATTCCAGGATTAATATCTGTATCTGTTTCACTTAGTTTTTTGGATCTTTGCTGCAGAGGGCTAGCATGGTGCTTCTGTCTATAGTGCCATGTTGGCTCTGCCTCTCCCAACCACATTCTTGATTAAGAAAAAGAAAAAGTTGTCCACGTGCTTGGTGGGGCATACTCATCATAGGAGGTATTATTTGTCCACTCTCAGCTCCAATAAATCCATTTGCTTTCAGATCAGTACCCATTGAGGCACATCCAGGGTTATTTCCCTAAAGACTTTATTAGTGATTGTCTTAGGCTGGGCTCTCTAGAGAAGCAAAACCAGTGAAGCTATATGTATATATAGAGAGAGAGAGAGAAAGAGAGAGAGAAATTTATCACAAAGAAATGGCTCACACAGTTGTAGAGGTTGGCAAGTTCCAAATCTGTGGGTCAGGCGTTAGGCTGGAGGTTTCTCCTGACTCATGTAGCTGCAAAGGCTGACAAATCCCAAGATTGGCAGGTAAGCTGCTAGCTCAAATCCAAAGAACCAGAGGTCAGGTGATGACAAGCCAGATGCAGGATCCATAGTGAACAAAAACCATCGCGCTTTGCCAGAACGTCCATATATATTGGATGCAGGTCACACCCCTGAGGAAACTCCTCTTATAACTGATTGGCTGCTCATAGCAGATTTTATCATGGAATTGATTACATTATATCAGATCTCATTATGGAGGTGATTACACTGTGGAAGAGCAATCAGTCCAATGTCTGCCAAATCACATCTTTACAAAACTGCCAAACCACTGAGAATCATGGCTCAGCCACGTTGACACATAACCTTAACCATAGCAATGATGTAGACCCAATATATGAATAGGCCGGTGGGAGGACAATGCTCTTTGCTCTCTGTTGCTGTGCCAACTTCAAGCTTCTCTATTTTTGGACATAGAAAAATGATATCAGAAATAAAATACAACAGAAACAAACAAATTTATCTTTCTCTCTGGAGATAATTTAAGTAAAAAAGTGGGGGATCTTTCTGTCGGGTTTCAGCCTCCTTGTGTGCTTTATGATGGTGTGCGTTGGTTCACTCTCAAGGTTCAGGGTTTCTTCCAACTTTATTTCTACAAGAGCTCCTTTAGTTTTTACTCCCAGGCTTACCCGGGAGATAACATAGGAAGGTTGTAGGTGAAGTGCTAGTACTTTCTGACCAGCCACCATATTTGTTCTACAAAAGTCCAGTTACAGATCAACAAGAGTCTCTGGGTAGCACAAACTGTCAACTTGCTTGCCTGGTAACCGAAAGGTTGGAGATATAAGTCCACCAGAGGTGCCTTGGAGGAAAGTCCTGCTGATCGACTTCTGAAACACCAGCCATTGAAAACCCTATGGAGCACAGTTCTACTGTGACACACATGGGGTTGCCATGAGTCAGAATGGACTTGATGGCAACTGGTTACATATTGGCCACGTTGCAAACGGCAATAATGAAATAATATTAGAACTGGAATGAGGGTGGAAAAGAAGCAAGGCCCAATCAATTGTCACTGTGCATGGTGGAAGTTTAGCCTGCAGATTAAGGCACTGCATGCATTGGCTGTGGGAACAGGTGTGATGTGGAGAGGGGGGAGGAAGTAAGAGGACACCACTGGGGAGACCCCACCAACTGCTTGGACAAGCTTCTTAAAAGATAGCACCTCCATTGAATTTACATCATCTGGGGGAAGACCTCCCTGTGCTGGTGATCCTGCTTCTGGTTTCTCTTCACTGTTTATCAAGCACGGCTCACCCCACAGTTTGTAAAGCCTCCCCTGCCCCCCCACCCCTTGATAGAAGGGAGAAAAGGAGAACCCAAAGCCTTTCACCAAGAGGAGTCTCAGATCCTTCCACCCGGGCCCCTGTATCACCGACCCTGGTGGGCGTAGAAGGATGGGGGTGTGGTTGACTGAATAACGGTCCCTAACGACATCCACATCCTAGTCCCTGGAACCTGAGTAAGTTACTGACAGGGCAAAAGGGACTTTGCAGACATGACTAAGTTAAGGATCTTGAGATGGGAGATTATCCTGGGTGATGAGGTGGACCAGTGTAATCACAAGATTCTTTATAAGAAGGAGACAGGAAGGTCAGGAGCAGAAGGCAATGTGGTGACAGAAGCAGAAGGACAGGGAGAGGGATTAGAAGATGCTATGCTGTTGCCTTTGAAGACGGAAGACGAAGTCATGAGCCAAGGAATGTGGCGGACCTCTAAAAGCTAGAAAAGGCAAGAAAATGGATTTTCATCAGAGCCTTGTGAAAGAATGCAGCCCTGCCAAATCATATTTGGACCTCTGGCCTCCAGAACTGTAAGAGGATAAATGTGTGTTGTTTTAAGACAAGAAGTGTGTTTTAGCAACAAGAAGAAACTCATACAGGGGATGTTGACACCAAGAAGCAGAGCCTCAGTTTTGATCTGGTAGATGGTTGCCTCATGCCATTTTTTTTCCCGACATCATACCTATTTCAGGTTGTGTGGACATAGTGTAGTGGTTAAGCATTCGGCTGCTAACCGAAAGATCAGCAGTTGGAATCCACCAGCTGCTCCCTGGAAACCCCATAGGGCAGTTATACTCTGTCCTATAGGGTTGCTATAATCGGAATCGACTCACTGGCAGTGGGTTTGTTTGTTTGTTTTTTTGTTTGGGCATAGCTAAAGAGTGATAGAAATGGAAAAAGGAAAACCCAGTGGGAATGTTGACTAAAAAGAACGCATGAAATAAAGTGAATATATCCTTTTTTTTTTGGTGATGGGTCTTTAATTCTTGGAAATTAGAGTCATGGTTCCTCATGTCCACTCCAAGCCACAACTTTCACTTTCACATCACAGTATCTTGTGCCCCGGTTAGCAACATGGTACCAGGACCCAGCCGTCTGCTCTGAGCTCTGCACAGCCACACTCGTGGGCGAATGGACCCTCAGGTTTGCTAACAGACGTAAAACCAGATGACAAATGTTCTGGAATGTAAAAGTGCATTTTGTGCAGCTACAACTCACATTGGGTGAGCCTAAAATACCTTCAAATAATAGTACTTTACAGCCTTGGCAAAGACTTTTCACCTCTTCATTATGAAGTTATTGAAAACAAAAAGTTGGTTCTTAGCTGCCCAGAATCCAGTTTCTCCAGTTAAATGCTGAATTGGACCCATGAGTCAGTGTCTTCACGGGAGGATCCACCAACTCCCATTTTCCTTCCTTTGTATTTTCTTCACAGAAGCACATACCCAGAGAAGGGATCTAGAACAGAGTTTTCAATTAGTTATTGATATTTGATAACAAGTCAATCAATTTTAGGCTAGCCCTAAAGCCAACTGACAGGTATTCTTATTCCTTGGAGGGCGGGATGGTGTACCTACTGTAGCATTGCTGCTTGCTGCCTTAAACACACCACCAATATCCAAGATAGCAGTTGTTCTCAACCAGCTTGACTCCCTACCCAGGGAACATCTGGCAGTGTCTGGAGACATTTGTGGCTGTCACAACTTGGGGTTGGAGTTGTTACTGACATCTAGTGGGTATAGGTCAGGGATGCTGCTCAACATCCTACAGTGCACAGGACAGCCCCACCATAGACAATAATTCAATAGCACTGAGGTTGAGAACCTGGGTCTAACAAAGAGTGGCTTATGTTCTTGCAATCAGCACCATAAAAAGATACAGGTATTGAGTTATCAAGGTGCTTGGGTGGCGCAAACTGTGCTCAGCTGCTAACCTAAAGGTTGGCGGTTCAAACCCACGCAGTGGCTCCACTCAAGAAAGGGCCTGGTGATCTCTTCTGTAAAGATTACAGCCAAGAAAATCCCATGGAGCAGTTCTACTCTGTAACACATGGGGTTGCCGTGAGTTGAAATCAGCTTGACAGCAATGGGTTTGGTTTTTGGTATTGAGTCACCAGATTCGAGAAAAAAAGTACAAAATCTAAGTGTAGATGTAGACCTCAATTCCTTCATTTGTAAAATGGATGTGTTGTACGAGATCTTTGTTTTTAAAGCTTTTTCTTTCTTTTTCATGTTTAGAAATTCTTTGGTCAGATGAAATCTGTGAAGTCTCCAACATTCAGGGGGATTAAAAATGGTGGCTGGTGTTGACCCAGGAATTATTCTCTCCTTCTGCATATAGAGATTGGGGGTGGGTGTGATGGGGCAGGCAAAGGGAAGTTTGGAAAGGTTCAGTTGTCAGCTGTCCCTGATTTGAAGGCGTCTCTTTTGGTGAAGCCCCTGTGGTGAATTCCTGTTATGCCTGGGCAAATCTAGCTTATCCTGGGATGGTGGATGAAGTGCTAAGTGTTCTGCATAAGAAAGTCACAGAAGCCTGGAAGTTCAAGGTTGACATCTCGAGAGGGGAGGGGAAGGGGCAGGGGATGGTGGGAACTGAGGCACAGATCTGGCCAGCCTAATGGGCTTTTGGAACTATGCCCATGTGCAGCTCTGAGTCAGCATCTGGCCTGTGTACTGCTGCAGCCCCTGCCCGGTACCCAGACCTTCAGGAGAGCCCAGGGCTGGGGGCTTTGTGCATAGGCATGGGGCTGTGGGAAGGAGTGTGGGGACAGAGCAGGGCAGCATCAGAGCCCATGGCTGGGATGACACAGTGGCGTTTGCAGGAGCAAAAATGACATTAAGGACATGGGTGGCAGCTGGGGTTGACCAGGAGCAGGTGAGATGCCCAGAACCCCTGGGAAAATGGGGACGGATATCTCAACAGTGGGTCCAGGGGGACTGAGCCATCTTATGTGGACACTAACAAATGGCCCAGGAACCTGGAGGGCTTGGGGATATCTGGGTTATAATTGGGAAACGGAGTCTCTGGGTGGTGGAAATGGTTAACACAATAGGCTGCTAACTGAAAGGTTGGAGGTGTGTGCCTACCCAGTGGGAACTAGAAGGAAAGGCCTGGCAATCTATTTCCAAAAAATCAGCCATCGAAAACCCTATGGAGCACAGTTTTACTCTGACACACATGGGGTCACCATGAGTCGGGGTTGACTCAATGGCAACTGGTAACTGGGAAACCATCTTGGAGACACGTTGGATGGGAAACACCTTTCTGTTCAATTCCAGAAGAAATTGGAACAAGAAGGGAGAAGGACGTACAGTGTCAGGTGCTTCAGATGCTGAGTGGGAATAACTGATGGCTTGCAGCACATTTCACAGGCACGAGTTCTTTGGAGTCTCACCCACTCCCTGGGGGATGAGGTCTTGTCTTTACTGGGCAGGGCATGAACACAGAGCACCAAGTGCTTGGCACAGGCACAGGGCTGGTATTGGCTGGGCTGGGCCTGGGACACTCGCTTCTCCCCGGAGGCACCTGGTCCAGGCCTCTTGACTCCTCAAGGACCCCTTCTAGCCCACACCTGTGGAAAAAAGCTCTAGCTGTCTGTGGACCTATGACAACTGTCTGTGAAGGAATCAGGGCAGGACTCACTTCCTACCACAGATACAGTCTATACTGTCGCACCAGCAATAACTTGGTCATTGGCCAGTTGATTGATTACTTTGATCAAAAAGACAAGGGAAGTGGACAAGTCCAACCCTGGGTATCTTTTTGGGGAAGGGAAGTGGGTTTGAGCTCCTGAGTTTGCCTGCCTTGATTAATCTCATTAACTGGAAAAAAGCTAACTTTGCTTTGCTGGGGGACATTCACCCAGGTCGTCCCAAGTGCCCTTTGTCCTTCTCTACACGCTTGCCAGCTGTTCACTTTGTTATTAAGTATTTATAGAGCCCTGGCCCAGCGCTCAGCACTCTGTTAGCTCCAACAAGCTCATGTTCACTTTCTGGCTTCGTGACTCCAGAACGGCGGGGCTGGGGGCTCCTTTCTATCCATCAATTATCCCTGAGTCCCCAGAGGAAGCCAGTCTAACAACTGTCCTTTGTCTTCTTATCCAAATTGCTTATCCCTTATTGGATCATTTGTTTATTACTGGAGCAGCAAGGAATTGGAGTCTCTAGGTGGTGCAAACATTTAACGCGCCTGGTTGCTAATCAAAAGTTTGGAAAGTCCACCCAGAGGCACCTCAGAAGAAAGGCCTGGAGGATCTACTTCCGAAAAGTCGGCCATTGAAGTCCCTATGGAGCACAATTCTACTCTCACACATGTGGGGTCATCCTAAGTCAGAGTCTACTCCACAGCAACTGTTTTTTTTTTTAAAGCAAGGAATTGTAATGTGAGCTGACTTTACAAAAATCCACTGTCTTGTTCTTTACGTTATGTTGACAGCAAGTGGCCAAAGTTGTAATAATGGGGACACAGATAACAAAACTTCCCCATCAGCCTCCTGCCCCAAGGGTCCTTTGCTGAACGGTAGACGGGCATGTTCTCAGGGGACAGGCAGGTTACTGTTGCCTTGGGTTACTGGACACTTGTTCTCTCTGCAAAGGTAGTGTGGTGACCCTACATCTTTAGGGGGCTTGACTTCAGGGGCCGCAGAGAAAAGATAGGACGTGTACCTTTCTAACTAGCTGAGCAAAGTCCCCGCTCTCGCGAGGTGGCAGCCCCAGGAGTGGCCGAGTACAGGAATCCAGCGCCGAGCCATGGCTGATGACGACGGTGACACCTACTGTAGAAAAAGGACACCTCAAGGTCAAAGCAGGCACACAGTTCTGGGGGGGAGGAGAGGACACACTCAGTGCCTGTTCTATCCAGGACAAAGCAAAGCTAAGAAGAGAGCGGGGTCTGGCGTGGTGAATCAAGTAAGGTGGCCTGCTGCTGGACTGCTTCCTAGCAGGTGAGTCTATCTTGGGAGCTGTATCTGTATCTATATCTCAACTGTATCTTTATGTATATGTGTATCTATACCTGTACCCATACCCTTATCTATATGCTGTTAGTTGCCATTAAGTTGGCTGTCACTGAGCTCCAAAAATTATCGACATTTTGCCAATCTTGTATCGTCTGTCCTCTACGCATGCCCTTTTTTACCCTACAGTAGTTTACAGTATATCCAAACATAACATCTTTTCACCAAATATACCTCAGTTTGCATCTCCAGATGATGAGGGCTTTTTTTATCCTTACATAACCACTATGCCATAAGGGCAATGGTAGTTCAGAGGTCGAATTCTCACCATCCATGTTGGAGACCTGGGTTCCATTCCCAGCCAATGTCTATCATTGGAGGCTTTTGTGTGGCTATGATGCTGAAGAGGTTTCAGCAGAGCTTCCAGACAAAGATGAACTAGGAAGAAAGGCCTGACGATCGACTTCTGAAAATCAGCCCATGAAAACCTTATTGATCACAATGGTCCAATCTGCAAGTGATCACGGGGATGATGCAGGACTGGGCAGCATTGTGTTCTGTTGTGCAAGGGAGCTCCGTGAGTGAGAGGCTGACTCAGTGGCAGCTAACCACAACCACTATGCTACTATCACACTTAACAAAATTAAAAAAAAATCTTAAATATTTCCATATTCAAGTTATATACTTAGATTCTATATTCAACTTTCCCTAATAGTCTCAAGGTCTACTTGTACAGTTGCTTTGTTCAAATTGGCACTCAAACACAGCATGAGATTAGTTATGCCTCTAATTTTCTTTTGTTTTCTGGGAAGCTGATGTAAGTTATTTTGCCACGGGTGGTTGGTGCTAACCCATTGTTTTGGGGTTCATTGGCACCTAGCCCCAGATTCAGAGGCCCGAGGGCCTGGGTGGCAGTTGAGTATGTATCTGTTATAGTTTGCTAGTGCTGCTGTAACAGAAATACTACAAGTGGGTGGCTTTAAAGAACAGAAATTTATTTTCTCACAGTTCAAGAGGCTAGAAGTCTGAATTCAGAGCAGGGGCTCTAGAGGAAGGCTCTCTCTCTGTCAGCCCTCAGGGAAGATCTCTGTCTTTTCCAGCAATCCTCAGTTCCTTGGTGATCTTCACTTGGCACCTGTCTTTCCCCATTTATGCTTGCTTTTGTGTCTAATCTGCTGTTTGTATATCTCAGAGTCGATCAGGCTTGGGACATACCCTACGCTGATAGACCTCATTAGCATAACACATAAAACTCTATTGCCAGATCGGATTACATCCACAGGTATAGGAGTTAGGATTCCAACCCATATTTTGGGGGTAGGGGGCAGAATTCATGACGGTATCTAGGTACCTCTTGGCTGCACAGACTGCAGTATAATACCCCGTTGGTCTGGGAATGGGGGTGGGAGTAGATTGGGGCATTTCCAGGTTCAGAAAATCAGCCAGTTGCCACCCCAGAGGTAAGACCAAAACCTTGGGGTAGGGGATGGGGACATTCATACCGGAGGATGGTGGAAGTACTTACAGTCCTGTGAGCAGATGCTGGTGATCCGTTCCACACTCGCCGAACACCTCTGGACATACTCTTCGTAGCTCTCAGCTGGTATCAGGGAGGAGAGTGGAAACGCAGGCCTGAAAATGAGTAGGGGAACTAATGCCACACTGGTGCCACATTGGCACAGTTGCTATAGATTAGGATTGTACGGCTATGGTCAGCTAGGAAAGAGAGTGCTCTTCCAAGATGGCACCACCTCAAGGGAGGCTCCTAGTCAACAGACAAGCTCTATTGTGCTCACTCAGACTCTGGCAAAGGACCAAAGTTTAATCGCAACATGCATTTTTGTTGAACATTAGAAGGGTTTGTGACGCCAAAAATTCAGATGTGGGAAGAGAACTAGAGAATTCCTGGCAGCAGAGAACTTGTGAACAGCATACCTGTAATTAGCATCGACATTGAAATTTGCCTCTTTCAGCTCTTCCAGGGTCATGAGGGTGGGAATGTTTTTGCCGACCTCCCACTTTGTCCATTCAAAGATTCCGGGTTCCACTCTTATCTTAATTTTTTTCTCCAGTTTGAGCTCTGGATTCAACAGAATACAAGTGTTTATAATCAGCAATGCCCATTTTGGCTCTAGATCAGTAAGTCTCCTGCTCAGTTTCAGAATCTTAACTAGATATCTAAATAACACCTTTCCAAAAATGTGATTTTTTCATGGTAATTAAGCACAGCCATGTTATTTCTGAGACAAAAACTCTGGGGCAATTGGAAGGCATCAGAAGAGTGCTGAGCTCTATCTGTCAAGAAGGGACGGGCAGCGGGAGACCTCAATAAATATCATCAGGAGACCTTACTGGATCTTTTTTAAAATTTTTGTTTAAATTTTGTTTATTCTGTTGTTGTTGGGAATATACACAGTACAACATACACCAATTCAACAGTTTCTACATGTACCATTTAGTGACACAGATTACATTCTTCAAGTTGTGCAACCATTGTCACCCTCCTTTTCTGAGTTGTTCCACCCATTAACATAAATTCAAGGTTCCTATGTAATCTTTCGAGTTGCTACTGTCACTTTGATCCCATAGAGACAGTTCTTAAAAGAGCATAATGCTTAAGGCAAACATTGTTTACTAGTTAAGCTAAACTATAGTTTGGTTTTAAGAAGACTTTAGGAGATACTTTTGGTTTAAGTTTTAAAAATTATCTCAGGGCAATAGTTTCAGGGGTTCATCCAGCCCCCTTGGATCTAGAAAGTCTGAAGTCTTTGAGAATTTGAAAGTTTGTTCCTCATTTTTCCCCTTTTGGTTAGGATTCTTCTATGAAATCTTTGATCAAAGTCTTCAGTAATGGCAGCTGGGCACCATCCAGTTCTTCTGGCTTCATGGCAAAGGAGGCAGTTGTTCATGGAGGCAATTAAACACACATTCCATATTCTCCTCCAGTTCCTGACTCTCCCTCTTACTCTGTTGCTCCAGGCAAATAGAGACCAATTGTTGTGCCTCTGATGGCCACTTGCAAACTTTTATGACCTGAAGCACTATGCAAAGAACTAGGAGGTAGACCAGAAGCACTAAATACATTATGAGGCCAATTAACTGGAATGTCTCATGAAACCATGACCCTAAACCTCCAAATCAAGGAACCAAATCCCATGAGGTGTTTGGTTGTACATAAGCAGTCTCAGCAGCTACTCTTTTTTTTGTTATTGTAAATATATCTATTACAGGACTTTTGCCAATTCAACTTTTTATAGGTGTACAACTTATTGACAACAATTACAAAAAATTGGCTGTACAACCCTACCCTTAATCAATGAGATTTTTCCACCACCATTAACCCCCTTTCCTCCTGCTCCCTTCCACCCCTGATGATCATTAATAAACTTTGTTCTCTATATATTTGCCTTTTCTTGTCTTTTTATATAAGTGAGCTCATACAATATTTGTCCTTTTGTGACGGGCTTATTTTACTCAGCATAGAGTCTTCAAGCTCCATCCATACTGTAGGGTGTATCAAGACTTCATTTCTCCTCCTGGTTGAGTAGTATTCCATTGTATGTATATACCACATTTTATTTATCCTTTCATCTATTGATGGGCATTTAGGTTGTTTCCACCTTTTGACTATTGTGAATAGTGCTGCAATGAACATTCATGTACAAGTCTCTTTTTGAGTCTGTGTTTTCAAGTCTTTTGGGTATTATGATGGTTAAGATGTGTGTCAACTTGGCTGAGCCATGATTCTCAGTGTTTTGGCAGTCGTATAATGTTGTGATCACTTCCCTGTTGAGATTTGATATGTGATCACCCTTATGATGGGATCTTGTCATGGATTGAATTATGTCCCCCAAAAAATGTGTGTATCAATTTGGCTGGGCCATGATTCCCAGAATTGTGTGGCTGGCCTCCATTTTGTGATTGTAATTTTATGTTAAAGAGGATTAGGGTGGGATTGTAACACCACCCTTACCCAGGTCACATCCCTGATCCAATGTAAAGGGAGTTTCCCTGGGGTGTGGCCTGCACCACCTTTTATCTCTCAAGAGAAAAAAGGAAAGGGAAGCAAGCAGAGAGTTGGGGACCTAATACTATCAGGAAAGCAGTGCCAGAAGCAGAGCACGTCCTTTGGACCAGGGTCCCTGTGCAGAGAAGCTCCTAGTCTGGGGGAACACCTAAGAGAAGAAGGCCGACAGAGAGAAAAAGCCTTCCCCTGGAGCTGATGCCCTGAATTTGGACTTTTAGCTTACTTTGACTGTGAAGAAATAAACATCTCTTCGTTTAAACCATCCACTTGTGGTATTTCTGTTGTGGCAGCACTAGATGACTAAGACAGAATTTGGTACCGGGAGTTGGGTGCTGCTCTAACAGATACCTAAAATGTGGAGGTGGTTTTAAAACTGTGAATGGATAGATGCGCGGCAGTGACAGAGGACCAGCAACAGCAGAGAACCTGCAGCAGCAGAGAAGCGGCAGCGGCAACGAACCAACAGCAGCAGAACCAGGAGACCAGTGTGAGACGGCACTGAGCTGACCCACGGAGTGAGAGAGCTGAGTTCCTGTGCACGGAAGGCTCCCTGGTAGAGTGGGGTGCCTCCAGGCCCTTATTGGTGGAGCTAGGCTTGCCGACCCACGGAGCAAGGGAGCTGAGTGCCTGTGTGCAGGAGGCTTCCTGGCGGAGTGGGGTGCCTCCAGGCACTTACCGGTGGAGCTACAGAGCTTTGGAACACTTGCCCCAGTAGGGCAGATGTGGGCATGAGGCCCGAGGGCCAAGAGGCCACAGGAAACAGAAGCAAAAGCTGAAGAGACAAGGGACACAAGAAGCCGAGGTGCCTGAGTCTCAAAAAGTATGGCCATGACCTCAGGGATTTCAAAGGGTGGAGCCATGGCCTCTGGTGCTTCTAAGGGTGGAGTTGCCACTCAGATGGACTGGGAGAATAGTGCGCCTAAAGCCAAGGGAGCAGAGTTGCTGTCCCAGTGGGCCTGGAAGGCGGAGCTGAAGCCCAGGGCCGAGGGGCCGCCACTCAAAATCCAGAGACTGTGGCCAATACCTACAGTCTAGAGCGCAGGGCCATTGTGTAAATCGTCTCAGAGAACAGAGGATTATTTTCAAAGCCTTGAGGGATAACGTGATGTGTTCTGCTGACTTGCCTGGTGCCTGTTATCACTTCTTTTCCTCTAGTTTCTCCCATTTGTAATGGAAATGTTTAGCTTATGCCTGTTCTGCCATTGTACCTTTGGAAGCAAATAACTTGTATTCTAGATTTCACAGATGAAGAGGAATTATTGGATTTTGGACTTGGAGTTAAGACTTTTGCTATGATATGATGGGGTGAATATGTTTTCCATGTTGCAAGGATGTGATTTTTTGAGGGCCAAAGGGTGGAATGTCATGGATTGAATTATGTCCCCCAAAAAATGTGTGTATCAATTTGGCTGGGCCACAATTCCCAGAATTGTGTGGTTGGCCACCATTTTGTGATTGTATTTTATGTTAAAGAGGACTAGGGTGGGATTGTAACACCACCTTTACCCAGGTCACATCCTTGATCCAATGTAGAGGGAGTTTCCCCGGGGTGTGGCCTGCACCACCTTTTATCTCTCAAGAGATAAAAGGAAAGGGAAGCAAGCAGAGAGTTGGAGACCTCATACCATCAGGAAAGCAGTACCAGTAGCAGAGTGCGTCCTTTGTACTGGGGTCCCTGTGCAGAGAAGCTCCTAGTCCGGGGGAGCACCAAAGAGAAGAAGGTCGATGGAGAGAAAAAGCCTTCCCCTGGAGCTGATGCCCTGAATTTGGACTTTTAGCCTATTTTGACTGTGAGGAAAATAAACTTTGCTTCGTTTAAACCATCCACTTGTGGTATTTCTGTTATGACAGCACTAGATGACTAAGACAGATCTGCTGTGAGTAACTAATCAGTTGAAAAGGAGGTTCCTTGGGTGTGTGGCCTGCATCTGAATATAAGCACACCTTCTGGCTTTTGCTTGCTCTGGATCCTGCAGCTGGATCCTGTTCGTCTGACCTCTGGTTCTTGGGACATGTGCTAGCAGTTTACCTGCAGTTTGTCTGCCAATCTTGGGATTTGTCAATCTTCACAGCCTGTGAGCAAGAGCCCTGCTCTCTGACCTGCTGATCTTGGGTTCATCAGTCCCTGCAGCTACGTGAATCAGAGAAGCTTCTATCCTGATCCACAAACTTGGGACATTTCAGCCTCTACAACCTCCTGAGCCATTTCCTTGATATAAATCTCTCTCTGTGTATATATTTATATGCTGTACTGTCTTTGCTTCTCTAGAGAATCCAGCCTAAGACAAGTATATACCCAGGAGTGGAACTGCTGGATCATATGATAATTTTATTTTAATTTTTTGAGGGAACTTCCACATTATTTTCCATAGTGGCTGTACCATTTTGCATCCCCACCAGCAGTGGATAAGTGTTCCAATATCCCCACATCCTTGCCAAAACTTGTTATTTTCTTTTTTTTTTTCAATCTTAGCCATCCTAGTGGGAGTGTTATGGTATCTCATTATAGTTTTGATTTGCATCTCTCTGATGACTAATGACACTGAGCATCTTTTCATGTGTTTGGTGGCCATTCGAATGTCCTCTTTGATGAAATGTCTATTCAAGTCCTTTGCCTATTTTATGATTGGGTTATTTGTGTTTTTGTTGTTAAGTTGTCAAAGTTTTATATATCTTTTGGTTATTAGATTCTTGCTGGATATATGATTTCCAAAGATATTCTCCCAGTCAGTAGCTTATCTTTTCACTTTTTTGGTAGAGTCTTTTGACAAACAAAAATTTAAAATTTTTATAAGATTCCATTTATTTATTTTGTCTTTTACCATTTGTGCTTTTGTTATTATTTTAGATAATCCATTGTTAAAAGCTAAGCCTGCAGCGTTGCCCCAGCTTTTTCTGCTAAGAATTTCTTGGTTTCAGTTTGCATATTTAGGTCCTTAATCCATTTTAAATTCGTTTCTATGTATGCTGTGAGGCAAGGATCCTGTTTCATTTCTCTGCATGTGGAAATCCAATTTTTCCAGTACCATTTATTGAAGAGACTGTTCTTCCCC